CCTAACGCGATTCGAAGACAACGATACTGGATCCGTTCCAGCTTGATGATGTGCGTTTTAGCTGCCGACTGGAAGCAAAAACTACCGTACTCTAAAACCGATAAAATCGTTGTCCGGTACAACGTCAGAAGATCTTGTGGATGGGCTCCCCACCACGTTCCGGTAATTGTTCGAAGAAAATTGATCCTTTGTTGGCATTTTCGTCTCAGATACTCAATGTGGGATCTCCAGGTGCATTTGGAATCGAACCAGACCCCAAGATATTTGAAAGACATGGAATGAGTGATCGGCCTACCCAAAAGTTGAAGCTTCGGTTGTGCTGGGCTATGCTTCCTAGAAAAAACAACCAACTCAGTTTTCTCCGTGGAGAATTCGATACCTAGCTGAATAGCCCAAGTAGACAAATTGTCTAGGGTATCCTGTAAGGGTCCTTGCAGGTCAGCCTCTCTGGGCCCTGTCATAGACACTACTCCGTCATCTGCAAGTTGTCTCAGCGTGCAGTTGTCACTTAGACAATTATCAATTTCTCTGACGTAGAAATTATACAAAAGGGGGCTTAAACATGAGCCTTGGGGGAGACCCATGTAACTAAATCGAGAAGCTGTAGAGTTTCCATGAGAAAAGCTCATATGTTTCTCTGACAGCAAATTGTACAAAAAGTTATTAATTAATGGAGAAAGGCCACAAGCGTGGAGTTTGTCTGAAAGGACTTCAACCGATACTGAATCAAAAGCCCCCTTAATATCCAAGAACACAGAAGCCATTTGCTCTTTTTTAGCAAAAGCCAACTGAATTTCTGTGGAAAGCAACGCGAGACAGTCGTTCGTTCCCTTGCCCCTACGGAAACCAAATTGAGTATCTGAGAGTAGGTGGTTCGTCTCAACCCATTTGTCCAAGCGAAAAAGGATCATTTTCTCCAACAATTTTCGAATGCACGATAACATCGCGATGGGACGATACGAGTTATGATCTGACGCGGGTTTTCCAGGCTTTTTAATGGCTATAACTCTCACTTGCCTCCAATCATCCGGAACAATATTGAGCTCTAGGAGCTGACAAAACAAGTTCAACATGCGCCTCTTAGCGACATCTGGGAGGTTCTTCAACAAATTGAACTTGATTCTATCAGCCCCCGGAGCCGAATTGCCACATGAAAGGAGCGCGAGTGAGAGCTCCAGCATTGAAAAAGGCTGGCTGATCTCGTCTACCGAATTCGTCGTTTCGCGAGGAATCATCCGTGCCGGCACGGAATCAGGACATACTTTTCGCGCGAACTTGAGAATCCAACGATCTGAGTACTCCTCGCTCTCGTTGTTCGAAGACCGGTTACGCATCCTTCGCGCCGCGTTCCAAAGCGTATTCATCGACGTTTCACGCGATAATCCGTCCACGAATTGCCGCCAGTATCCGCGTTTCTTGGCTTTGATGAGGCTCTTGAGTTCGCGTTCAAGAGCCAAGTACGCTTCGAAATACACGGGTGTTCCACGTTTCCGGAAAAGCTTAAACGCGTCGGACTTTTTACGATAAACCTCAGTGCATTGGTGGTCCCACCAAGGGGAAGGAGGTTTCCTACGCAAAGACGTTCCAGAAACCGGCCGAGTTTGAGCTCGAAGCGCGCTGTCCAAGATCAGATTGGAGAGGAAGTTATATTCCTCCAACGGTGGAAGCCCTTCTACCGACGACACGGCTTCCTCTATCGCGGTCTTGAACGTTGTCCAATCGATATTACGGGTGAGGTCGTACGCGACGTTAACGGATTCCGACGGATTGAACCCACTGGCAATCGAAATTTTGATCGGCAAGTGATCACTACCGTGGGGATCTTGGATCACATTCCACGTGCAATCCAACGATAATGAGTTAGAGCAAAGTGTGAGGTCTAATTTACTTCCATTTGAGGATGGACCAGCCAAACGTGTTACTTCTCCATTGTTAAGAATTGTCATATTGAAGTTGTCACAGAGATCATATATCATAGTAGAACGGTTGTCATCATACAGTTCCCCCCAGCCTGTACCGTGGGAATTAAAATCTCCCATAATCAACCGTGGAGCAGGAAGTACTGAACATATATCTGAAAGTTGTTTTCGATTCACAACGGCTCTAGGAGGAATATAAACAGAAGCAATACAAAGGCTCTTACCTTTAATAATAGCCTGACATGCGACAACTTCAATACCTGTAAATTGTGGAAGATTCACTCTATAGAAGGAATGGCACTTTTTAATCCCCAAAAGTACCCCTCCTCCACGCGGATCCTCACGATCCAGTCGAATAATGTTAAAATCATAAAAAGGAAGATCAATATCTGAAGAGAGCCAAGTTTCACAAAGAGCAAATACATCACAATCATTATTGTGAACTAAAAACTTAAAAGAGTCTAATTTAGGAATAAGACTTCGACAATTCCACTGTAGAATTGTGATCAAATCCCCGACCTCGTTTGGAAAATTATCCATCGAAGGAAATGATTGCTGCAATGAGGGGCCACTTCAATGTCAATTGCTTCAAGAGGGTCTTCACAGTAGGAAGCATTGCCAGAACAATGCTTTTGAGAGGATCAGAAATATTCAGGTACTTGAGGATATCGTCCACAATTTTATCAAATGAGAACAACCCAGATGAAGAAGGGGCTTCTGTTCTTAAAAATGGGACATCAGGGGTTTTGGATGTCCCCGGGAGAGGTGGAAAATCCTGGATATAGTCAGTTCTTCTGAATCCAGGAGGAGTAGAAACTTCCTTTTTTCCACCACTCCTTGATTTGGGCAAGCTGATTTGGGGTTCTTCATTCTCAACTTTCCGCGAACGGATGCGTTTTCGTTTCCGTGCTGAAAAACAGAAAGAAGTTCCCTCCTCAGCCAAGTCAGAGTCAGTCTCGTCATCTGACAAAAGAGAGAATGGATTTTTGTCGTTGGTCGATGGCGTGGCCGTCTTAAGCATTTCCGCAAAAGACTGCCGGGAACGTTCCTTGAGTGAGCGTTGTAATTTCTCCCCGCGTTGTTTGTACACCGGGCATGACGAGAGACCATGAGGAGTTCCCTTACAGTACACGCATTTTGGTGCAGTGACTGTGCAGGCGCCATCCTCGTGCTTCTCCCCGCATTTGGAACAGCGTGCCTTGCTGCCACAGTGGGAGGCCGTATGTCCCAACTGCTTACAGTTTTGGCAGTTCATGACCCGGGGAACGAACAAACGCACAGGTAGTCGAAGTTTTCCCAGCTCGATGTAGTGAGGAAGGGCTGAACCAGAAAAGGTCACACGGAACGAGTCTGTGGGGGTAAAACTCTTTTTACCCTCGCTGACAGATACTGAGCCCAGTTTTTGGACATCCAGTATCTTCACCGGGGGAAGCAAACGGTTCTTGAAACGGCCAACCGCCTGCTTCTCCAAGATCTCGGGGGTCAGACTCGCTTCGGTGACCACACCTTCGATCTCCACATCACGAGCTGGGATGTAAACTCTGTACTCGAGCGTGAAGAGCTGGGAGGCAGCAATCTCGTTAGCCTGCTTAAGGTTAGAGACGGAGACACGAAGTTTATTGTGCCTAACCTTCGTAATTTCAGTCACGGCCGAGTATCGCTTCGTCAGATCATTAGTAATTTGCATTACATTCAAAGGTTTGTTTCTGGGCTGAAAGTAGACAACCCATGGGCCAGTCGAGTCATCTGGATAGGCTCGCGATCGGGGGTTTATCTGAGCCTGTCCTTTGCCAGACTGAGACGATGAATCAGGGATGACATCATCTTTCTTCTGAGATGATGTACGTTTTCGACCCTTCTTGCCATCGCGTGGCAAAGTGGTGTCATCTTCTGACAAAACGTCCATTTCGTCTTGCGACAAAATGTCCATTTTGCCGTACTAGTGGGAGCGAAAAACGCTCTACCACTGAAACGATAATCACTCGGACACAATACACAAAAAAAAAAACTACAAACACAGAACACAAACTTAAAATTTAACTGGTGGGCGAAAGAGAGAAACAAGAATAAAAACTTATCTGATAATCCTATACTACTACCACCGAGCGTTTAAACAGCAGCAGCGGAGCGACGCGCAGCGTGGATGATCTTCGATCCGCGTGTGCGGGCGGTCTTCGTTGGTGTGTGCTTATGTAAGGGTCGGCACTCAGTTGAACACACGATGATAGATGAGCGGTGTAAATGCGGAGGCAGATGCTGACACTCGATGACGATGATCCGTGTGCAGGTATGCGTTACCACGCACCGATGGTGCGCAAAATGGTTGGCGAATTGGCAATCGCAAAAACTATTTTCCTTCCGATGATGCCGAAAACACACTTTCTTCTCAGAAAAAACTCACTTTTAGTTAATTATTTAGCTAGGAACTCTAAGCGAGAAAAAACTGATAATTTAAATCAAGCGAATAGCGAGAAAACTTCCAAAATAACGGAGCGCGAACTAAGTCGACCGTACTTCTTGCTAGGACGCAGTGGAGTGTAGTGACTAAGATATTTTGTAATGTACAATTTTATGCCTTGTTCAGACTACAGAGTTATAACATGTTATATCTCTATCTTGAGGGTGGTTTCTGTGTTGCAACTATTTGACAACCGTTGTAACATGTTATAACTCTGTAGTCTGAACAAGGCATAATACTACATTCAAATTAATATGACGAACATACCAGTGTAGCGAGTTCCGAGAGAATAACGTTGCGACTAAGGGCATGGCATTACGAATGAGTTAAGCCTGTTTCGCATATCTCTTGTTGATAACGTCTGTACATAATGGGTAACATATGTATCAAAACGATACTGACCTATCTCAATTACTTTTGTTTTCGTCTCTACTTTCTACACATTCCAACATAATCACCATAAGGACAGCAGGATTTTAAGGATGCGTTTGCAATGCGCATGACGCACTAGTGTCATATCCACCATCCCAGTAACATTAATCGATATCCTTACATTTTTCACAGACGGCTCGGAGACTTCTGAATCTAGGTGAATTAGTTTCCCAAAATAGAACATCTTACCATCGATTTAAGTTGTTCAAATTGTACCCTAGTTCCTGAATCCATACTATTGAATTCAATTCAACCGTTACCGTAGGTGCTAACTAAAACGATATATATATTGATCTTCTAGAATCTTCCGACCACCGCAGCAGGCAACTGACGAGATCAGACCATCCCCATCCTAACTAAGCTTCCCGTGTGAAAGTGGCGCTCGATAACGGTATCAAAACGCAGTCCCGAGTGCATCCGAGTCCCGGCAGCGCTCGCACTCTCGTGTGGGCGCTTCCACTGACGGCATCATGCAACATGGTGACGGAGGAAAACGACGAGCATCCCCACACCGAGGAAGAAAAGACACCGACCCAGGACAGTAACCTGCTGGTGCGGTCGGATAGCACCGAGGTCTTGATCCAAAGCAGCATGGACGACATCTTCGATGTGATCAAGGCTGGCGAGTTGTCGGAGGTGGAAAACCTGGTGGAGAAGGTCGGCCCGGAAGCGTTGAGTGCAAGGGATAAGCATGGGTACACTCCGGCTCACTGGGCTGCTTTGGATGGCAACGTGGAGATGATGCGCTACTTGGTAGAACGCAATGCTCCGGTAGATCTGCCTTGTTTGGGAACGCAAGGTCCGAGGCCTATCCATTGGGCCTGCAGGAAGGGTCATGCTGCGGTTGTGCAAGTTCTGTTACAAGCCGGAGTGGCAGTTAATGCTGCCGACTTTAAGGGGCTGACACCACTTATGACGGCTTGTATGTACGGAAGGACGGCTACTGCAGCATATCTGCTTGGAATGGGTGCTCAGAACCACCTTACGGACATCAACGGCGATACGGCACTGCACTGGGCGGCGTATAAAGGGCATGCCGATTTGATCAGATTGCTGATGTATTCGGGCGTGGATCTGCAGAAAACGGACAACTTCGGATCGACACCGTTGCATTTGGCTTGCCTGTCGGGTAATTTGCAGTGTGTGAAGATACTTTGCGAAAAACGTAACCTGGAACTAGAACCGAGGGATAAGAATGGGAAAACTCCGCTGATGTTGGCTCAGAGCCATCGGAATAACGATGTGGTGAAGTTGCTTCACAATGAGATCAAGAAGAAGTCCAGATGGATGCCACCGATCTCGGAGATCTGGAGTCTGCTGTTTGGCGGCGCTGGGGCCTCCAAGGGCCCGTTGATTCTGTTTCTGTTCTCGGTACTGCTTTGGGGGTATCCAATGTATATGATCAGGGTAAGATGGTTTACTTAATACTCGCTATAGATGACGGATCATCAACGATCTTTCATTTCAGTGCATCCCAATAACGTGGAACGTTCTACGGAGGTCGCACTACTGTTTCATCTACTGGAATGCGGTTATGTGGATTAGTTGGATCATAGCCAATCGTCGTGACCCGGGATATATTCCATTAAACTCGGATACGTACTACCGGGCCATCAAACAGATTCCCTACTTTGATAAGTGGAAGAAACGTAATGCATTTTTATCACGACTATGTCACAGCTGCCGATGCCTGAGACCACTGCGAGCCAAGCATTGCAGAATCTGCAACAGATGTGTGTCGTACTTTGATCATCACTGCCCATTTATCTACAACTGCGTTGGATTGCGAAATCGCATGTGGTTCTTGCTGTTTGTGTTGAGCGTAGCGATCAACTGCTCATTCACGATCTACTTTGCCTGTTATTGTGTAATGATCGAAGGATTCAGTCTACTGTACGTGCTAGGACTGGTGGAAGCCTTCGTTTTCTGTGGCCTGGGATGGATTCTCACCTGTACTTCGGTAAGCATAATGGAGGGTCAATCTCAGGTTCCTAAGCTAACCTTAAACGTTCTCCGTAGATCCTCCACGCATGCATGAACCTCACGACCAACGAGATGTTCAACTACAAACGTTACCCATATCTACGGGACAAACGTGGTCGCTATCAGAACCCATTTTCCCGCGGTCCGGTGCTGAATCTGTTCGAGTTCTTCGTTTGCTTGCCGGACCGCCAGGACGAACAGGACTACATGCTGGACGAGAATCTTTGAAAATTACCCAACCCGAGCGTGAATAGGAAACGATTAACTAGCAGCTAGGGGCAAGCGCCTTGCAGTTGGATTCCATTTTTGCTCCGCATTTTTTACACCACTCTAGATCCAGATATATACTTACGGCACCAAATCCGAAAGGTCGAAGCTTAGAGCTTGAAAGCTAGCGAGAGAAAAGATTAAGCAGCTGCAGCCGCATTTGACTTTGCTTACACCGTACAGCACCGTTTGTCGATTAGTGAATGATGAGCAAAAGAGTTGTTCCCTAAAGGGCCACCCACATTGGATCCGCTTGCGTTGCGTTGACGTAAATTTGACAGTTAGACAATAGCTTTAGCTGTCACTTTGCCGCAACGCGTCCGATCCGGATCTAATGTGCGTGGGCCTTAAGCGACTTCTCGCTCACTTTTGGATACCTATTATTATCAATCGCGTGGTGTGATCACACTGAGAAAGGAAGTTCTTTCAAATTCCATCCGTACGTAGAACGGAATTCTCAGTTATTGATTATAAAATACGTTTATTATTTTTCCAAATACGTTTGAGTACACGAATGTAATTTTTTTTGCGCTCTATACGATTCAACCTGTTGGGCGAACATTATTTTACTATAGTCCACATAGATACGTATTTAAATGTTATTTCTTCACTGATTTATTGGGATCATTTATTTCTTTTCACTTTCGTAGTGGAACAATATATTAACGATATTGATTTTAGTCTGACGGGAGGAAGTATATTTTCATTTTTGATAGATATTAACTAAGAATCGTATATTGTTAAAGTTTAAAAATTATATGCGAACTAATGTTACGTTGAAGGTGAATGTTGATAAGAAATAGTCTTTACTTTATTTGATATAATAATACACGAAACTATTTTCCGAAGTAAATTAACCTACGAATGTGCATTGATATTTTCGTTCGTGTATGTGTATTTAAAGGTTAACTCATCAAATTGCACAAAATAGTGTTTGTTTTGTTTTCGTTTTAGTACTTAGATTAAAATATAAACACACTCCAAAACTACATAAAATGTATTCTGAAAACTCATGAACAGCAGCGGATGCCTGTGTTTTTCAATATTTATTGCTTTCCATACTGTTATAATACCAGATTGTATCTCGATGAAAGAAATATTTTTACCGTAAATTTTGATGGCTATAACGCTTCGAATAAAACTTTTGTAACAAGTCATACCACATTGGATTTTATTTTTCGGTGAAAAAAAATGAGGAAAAAACGGTAAATAAAATCGGTCGATGAAAATTCGACCTTTTGAATGGTTCCGCGTGAAATACAATTCATGCAAATCGGAGAAAGTCGAGTCTGAAAGCCCCAGTCCCATCTGGAAAGACAGCAAGCCGAGAAAAACGCTGTTGAACATTTATTTCTATTTTGGCTCTCATGGATGGGAGAACCTGGTTTTGGTATTTTCACGATATTTACTGAACAAAATATGTAACTTTTAATGCACAGTGTACAATACCGGTAGTTTACAATTGATTCTAATGGATAACTCATTTCTGACAAATATCCATATGGGACTGTTAGGCTTTTAATGGCAGTACATCTTTGCTTGATTCCCTATTCTAGTGGGACTGTTATGCGTTTATTGGTAGTACATGAAGACTAAAGAGCCTGAATTTATAAAGAGACGACATCTTATCCATTTGACAGGTCTTGTGCTCGATTGGAATGACTTTTTCTATGACTTTGACAGACAATCGATTGTTCCAATTTTGACATGTCGCTTCTTTATAAATTTAGGCTCTCGTCACTGCCGACATACTGAGAACAGATAGAAATACGTCACTGCCAACAGCTGTTTCGTGTAAAAAGATAAACATTGCAATATAATACGAACACCACTAACCATTTGCACATTTCACTAACACCAATAAGCCCTTTGGCCCAGACCTTATATAAACGTCAATGACGCGCACATGAGCGGATATTGTAACGATTGAACGAATCGAACAATTTCTACATGGACAGTGTTTTGAAATTGGAATTAAGTGAAACAGCTTTTGAAATGAGGGTCAAAGTTTTACCGAACGTTCAGGTGTTTTAAGTTCGGTAACATTATTGCCGAAGTCGGTAATAATTTCTGAGTGTGTATATAGCGAAGTGCGCCGGGCAACTTCCATTTTATATATTCGCGCGGTCTGCATTTAAATAAAATATGATAGAACAGCTCATGATCAAAAGAACAAAACATAATCATTTTTACGGTATTTCCCCTTCTTTTAAACATGAACTGTTCGTTCATGTGACGCATAGTGTTATCTACGTTTAAAATTCAACACACAATTGCGCATAAAAAATAAATGCTTAAGCGCAAGGATATTGTGCTAAAATTGCGAGTTTCCGTCTAACCGTCTTGGTTACTGAAATTACATAAGCTCAAATACACAAAATGCATCCCTGCTTCCATTCGTTAAGATTACAAGAATAATTACCTATTTTTGCCCTGCTAATATTTACGATTATCATAAGCCGGCCATCGTTTCTAATGATAGTTTCCCCCATCGGAATGAATTTTCTTTAACTTCTCGTAAAAGTATATCAATTTATATAAAAAAAAAACTTTGGTTCCAGATCCAGACAGTAAAGCATAAATAAAATCGTATCATATAGATCGAGCACATACACAATTACCTTAACTGTCGAAGCAAAAGTCGTAGTTTTCCGGCTCTGACGGGATCGGCGGTGGGTCCTTGCTGATGTCTACCCCTTCGGTATCCAACAGTCGCAGTTTGATTTCCATCGATAGCAACGTTTCGAAATCGTCATCCTTCTGCTTGCTGAGCATCGGTTGCCCTAGAAGAGCGTTGATACCGTCGGTCCAATAGTTGAATGTGGCCTCATCCGGAGCGACAAAGTCCAACGTTTGCTGGTCGCTGGACTCGGTGACGAGCGAAAATCCTAGCGGGAAGGTGGACTTTTTCGCACGCATTTCCTTCATGTGGGGGCACTCCTTTCCCACAAGCATCTGGCGGATGTCGATGACCGGAAGTTTGTTGTTGAGTTCTTCCAGGGTCGGTACCGTCTTTTCGTCACAATCGCCGTAGTGAATGACCTTGTGATTCGGCGACAGACGAGCGTACCAGTACTTGTCCCGTTCCCGCTTGCCTCCGGTGTACTTGGAGAAGCGAGTTCCAACCACCAGGTAGCCGAGCCGTTGTTCCTTGATGAGCGACATGATTTCCGGTGTGATTTTCTCCTTTAGAGAGACGATGGCCGACGCCGTAGATTCACACTCCTCGCGGGAAGTTCGTTCTTGCTGACGAAGCGTGGTGATGGTATTGTAAGTGAAAGTATGAATTTTGGCTTTAAAATCTTCCAGGGATGCAGGGCGCCCCGTAATACTGCGGGTGATTTGTTCTCGAACGACACTGAAGACTTTGACAAAGTCTTCCGTGGTGGCACGCATGTCCTTCCAGGTTCTGTTCAGGACAACGATACAAATGCAGAAGAATTCCTCAAACGGGTGATCGTGGGTGAAGAACATTGGATGGAACTCTTGTCCTTGTTCCGATGGAGATTCGCCGATATGAAGAATGTCACAAAGAACCTTGACCAGTTCGATGCTTGTCCGCCCGAAGGGGCACTCATGCTCGTCCGCTCTGCAGCTGTTTTCGTGCACTACTTTGGTGTAATTTTGGGTATAATTGCGAGCAAAATAAACCATGCAGTCCAGGGCTAGAACACCAGGGGGGATTTCCAAAAAATCCTGCGCCGGATTAATGTCGCATTTGAACCCAAGTTTCTTGTAGTGGATTGAGTACGACCCACCATGCTGACGGCGGGCCGTTACATCCGGAATAGGATCTATACCATCTGCCTCAAAGGCAATTCTGCGAAGTTCCTTGATCTTTTCTTGGGCATCCTGATCCTGAACGTCGATCGGAGTCTTCATGCGCTGTTCTAGCAATCCCAGCGTCAGCGTTTGCAAAACGTACAATTGATGGGCAATTTCCGCGCCCATATTCGCCGTGATAACGCTATTGATGACACTCCGATACTGTTTCGAACTAAAGGTTGCTGCAATAATCTTCCTTTTGCCGTCATCAGCCTTTATAAACAGTGCATTTATGAGGGCAATGGTATTCTGCTGTATCACCGTTGACGGCGAATCTTGAAGCAATTTCAAAAGCACTTCCAGCGTAACATCCTTCTCCACCAGCGAGAAATTACTACTGTTTTGAACAATATTTTCCAAAATTGCCAACGCCGATTGAATAACTTCTTTATTGCTATTTCCATTGATAAACGCGATGTTTCTCAGTATGAAAGATAATTGCAAAACGTCCCAAGAAACGGTTCCGTGGTCCATCAGCTTAACGAAAGCTGACAGAGCATATTTGAGAATATTTTCACCAAATTTAGGTTCTTCTATAATGCGTACAATTTCGTCCAATCCTTTTTCTTTGATAAACTCCAGTGCGAACGTAACATCCGCACTCAGTGCCGGAAGCTCCGTCAGTACCTTCAACATCTCGTCCACTTTTCCGCCTTTCAGCTTTTCCAGGATATCGCTGGCCATCTTCGACGGTGAATGAACCATAATCAGTACCGATCCGTTCTTCACCTCGTGACGATTTTTCTCCGTTACGTAGTAATTGTTCACATCAGTGAACCTTAGCGCGTAGCAACCTGGATCTTGGATAGCCCAGTATGGACACAAGTTCTGGATGATCGCAGTGAGCGGTTGCCTCTGGTCAAACTCAATGAGCTGGGCGATTCCCGTCTCAAATTGGACCGCAATTTTCACTACATGACTATCACGAATCGCTGGCATTTTGGCAGCTTTCGGTAACATTTAAACACGCACAACACTCTACTCCTACGGGAGAGCACACATCGGCCACAAATGGATCACGGTTTTACGGGAAAATCCGACTTTTTCTACGAACAAAAACTTTTCTCCCCGACACGATAAGAAAGAAAATGACAATCAGGATGTGATTAATCAAAACTTCGCACACACAAGCACTCGGGATGGTTGTGTGCGAAAGTTTGCAAACAAATTTTAAAATGCTCTGTGCCCATGCAGCAAATTCAAACAGCGAAGCCCGTTTAAGCGGTGAACAATGCCATACCTGATCCGTCTCAGTCTCAAAATCCAAAACAAACACAAACCGCCCGGAAGTTATTTGGATTCGCGTAGAGTTTTTAAGCTATCTAATGTTTTGTGTTAATTTACATGGAATATTGGTGAAATTTGCTCAATTTGTGTAGAAATGATTCGTTTCATTCCGTTTCTGATATTGTTTGCTGTAATTGAAAATGCTTCGTGCCTAGGTTCCTTTCTTTACATGCATATTTACAACAGTGGCTTTCATAGGTGCGTCCAAATCAATAATGCATTCAAAATGTTTTTTTTTCTGCGAAAAATAATCACTATTTTCTTCATTTTGTCAGAGATGTCCATTACACACTGAAATTCGGTGGAATAGGTAGAATGTCCTGTGATTTCATGCTTCTGCAGCAATTCCCTTCCGCTGTGTACGTCGATACCGATCAGCTGACGAACTTGAAGAAGTTCAAAAAGGTACGGGTAGAATTGCTCCAATCTCCGATTGTATGAAAAAAACTTTTATTCTTATTTTTAAGATCAACAGCTACATTCCGCTGTATGTCGACGTGGAGAAACCGGCCAGCAAGGCGAGTCCATTTTCGCTGTACCTTTTCGAGACTGTACGCAAGGAAGTGAACATAACGTTGCCTATCCACTTCCGGTATCACGATCCATCGGAAAGGAAGTAAGCTTTTTTTTTGTAATTAAATAAAAACATTCTTTCTGATCCACTATATGAGTTAACAGGTTTCAACTTCAGTTCTTCTATTTAGCTCTACTAGCTATTGATCAAGACTAATATTTTTTGGAATTCTGATGTTTCCGGTGAAAAAAAATAATAAATTCTGCAATGGGTCTCATATTGTAATTGAGCAATTTCACTTTCTGTGATTAGCATTAAACTTTGCATAATTGTTTATTATAGGCAATGCTAGGATTTGTCAAAAGAATGATTTCAATCGATATTGACAATAATTTGTTTGACATCGTAATTGGAAGAATTGACTCTCACATAAACCTTCGTCAAAATCTAATTATTTTTTTCGTAAATTACAAAGATCCACTTGGTATCAAAAAGTGTAATATCGTGCATTCTATTTCACAATATTGTTATCCAGGCAGTTAAGGGCGTAGGTCGTAGATGCTTGTTCATTTTAACCATAGATGTCGTTCCAAATTTAGCCAGTATCAACCTGGGGGGAGGGGGGAAGTGCTGTCAAATCAGCCTACTGATCATCTTGTATGAAACTGGTTTCAAACGTAAACAAACGCTGTAGGTTTCTTATGGCTTGTTTACGTTTGGAACCAGTTATGCGAGGTAGGCGACGATTGTTCGTATTTGACGGCCACCTCCCCCCCTTGGTATCAACAGCTGCACATTTTTGGCACTACTAATTGTCATATGGTATCCTTTGAAGATCATGCCGAACTAAAAGAAGGCGGAACTTTTGGTGGTTAATTTCTCTCGTGGACACCCTTTATTCTTACAAATTATTATTTTTGATTAGAAGTTAACTTACACTCCAAAAAATATGCACGTCCGATCTACGTGAAAACATAGGTCACTTTCGTCCATACTACTTTTCACGTAACATTTACGTTAATACACAGGTAGCCAAAAATATTCCCATTCAGCGGTCAACGTGAACAGTAAGGTAAATATAACGTGATTTCCACTTAAGTTGGAAGCGGTTATCACGTAATGTTTACATGATTTTGTAATGATATTTACTGGAAAATACTGTTCATCTTACGCTTACGTTCCGTGGTTTCCACTATAATTAGAATGGATTTGCACGTAATGTTGACGTGATTTTGAAGTGATCTTTACCAGATTTAACAAATTCTGTTTTCCATTTTTTCCAAGAAAAGTATATTTAAACATTTTTAGTATTTTTTTAATAATACGTCAAGTATGTCATTGAAACGTTAATACTAACCATTTCGCTTTTCCAACACTTAATTGATCATGACGATTCAGATGCAATATCCGTTTGCACTGTTTACTGCCAGTCAGGTTAAATTGACCTTTGGAAAATCCCCGTAAATTGTATCTTGTATCAGCCTATGAAATCGAAATAAATTTAATTAGCAGTGTATGACGGATTTCAAATAAAGCGAAATAATATAAAAATACCTTTAAACAGTTGCAGTATGCTGAATCACTTCTTCCACTAATAAAATCGATGCAGCCATATTGTTTAACTTTTTCATACATGTAAATCACTTAAACTCATTTTACGTAAGCACACCACAATCACACACAATCACATTGAAGTGATATATTTATCAATTTTACTACCATCATGTATACATGAAAGTTGAAGCATTCGCACGTAGATTGGATGTGTATATGTTGTAGAGTGTGCACGATTATCACTTACTTTTTACTTGAAATTCCCTTAGCATCAACGAACATGAAAATCACGTAAATGTTATCAAAATTTAATTTTAGACGTGAGCCATGTGCAAATGATCGAAGTGGGGTGTTAAAGAGGTTACGTGATTTTTCACGTAGCATTAACGTGTATTTTTTATGAGTGTAGTTCAAACATTTTTTTTTTATTATTATAATAGCCCTTTAAACACTCTTGGGTCATTCATAACTTGTCCGGGTATGATATTTTAACTCGTGACTTTGGCGTGGCAGGTATGAATGTTAATCACTACGCCGGGGCCGTCACCCAGTTTAATCAATAATAAAGCCTGAATACGCCACAGCTTCCCCAGAGATGGGTGAAACAAAAATGTCAAACTTCTGCTCGGAAAACAAATTAAGGAAAGAAAAGATATCGAATTTGCACTGTGAATTTTAATTATGCTGATACATGCTTCTTATTCTTTTTTCATCCCTACTAGATTCGAGCGCATTCAAATCGAAAGCCCAACTCTGTACGTCCAGTGCCGCGGATCGAGCACCAAACGCCTTCTGAAGTCGATGGGAACTTACCGGTATCCTTGTCCGAGCAGTGCCCAGATATACGACTATGACAAGCTTAATGAGGCCGAGTACTGCGACTGGCAGGAGCTGGAGTTTAGTGTAGGTTGAACATTTCTATTCGCGTTATCTTTTATTTCATTTACTCGAGGAATATTGAACAAAAGAAACATCCGTGTGATATTCGATTGCAGAATGTACCGACAGTGATCAGTGTCCTCATACCGGTGGGTAACAGTTCGTCGTACAGATTCGTCCTTCCCGCCACCCTTCTCGTCAGCTGGATCGGTAGCATGTATCTCATTTACATCATCATCAAATCGGGTAAGCGCATCAACAAAAAACTTTTGTAAAGCCGACATACGATCTCAAATAAAACGCAACGAACAATCGTAAGTAGTCTTATTTTTTTTAGTTGTATTTTAAAAATATATACTTTCATTTTTCTGGGCAACAATCACAAAAATATAATCGATATCTTACAGTTCTTAAATTATGCAACTGGAATGCTCAGATTCAGTCCTGCAGCCTAATTGAACTTTCTATCTTAGTACCTGTTGTTTGTATCTTACGACTAATAGGTAGTCACAAATAACATCGGAAGCCTTTTCTGGAAACCCTGCGTCTCTGCTTTGCTTACAGCAGCAATTTAAGAGCACTCGATTTGTATTCTTTTACTTTTCGTTAGGACGAAATTTTTAACGGTTTACCCATGATTTGAATAGGCTGTTTTTGTTTGAATCATATCAACTTTGGACTAGACTAAGTATACTTTATTAATTAAAAGTATCTAGTTTCTTTCGGTTTTCTCAATCCACGTGGTCAACTCGCTCGGTGGTATTTTGATTATTTGGCACGGCAGCTTCGGTATCATCTGCAAGGTAAATAGAAGGATGAAAGAAATGTCCCTCTGTTTAGCTAACGATTTCACTTACCATCCTTCTTATCCGGTCGGGGTTCATTCCAGGGCTGGATGTCGGCTTTGCCCAATATTATAAATACCAAATTACCTAGGAAGTAAATTGCGGCAGATATGTAGAACACTGTACGCCACTGAACTGGGTCCGTCTGTAAGAGGTAAAATTCAAAAGGAATTCAAATAATCAGTAAAAATGTCAACAATGGATCCTAAAATGGCAATACAAATATTATTTTTAGTACCCTTGTCTAGTGCGTTAAACAAAGTTTGATTAAATCTGCGTCGAGTCAAACTCTTAGCTTGATTTTTACTTGTTGTTACAATGAGCTTGTAAAATCATATCAAGCATGATATTTTGTTCCAATACCACGCGTGATATTGAAAGCGTGTGCGAGCGGAAATTTTTTTTTTTTAAGTTATAGAAATTAAAGATACACTTTTTGAGATATTTTAGTTTTAACAGTTTTCTGGAATTTATACTCAACATTACTAAAAAAAAAATCCGTGGATATTTGATCCAGAAAGACTTTAATTTTCCCTACAACTCTGTCTCAGACGGCATTTCGATCAGACGTGTTCGTGCTACAATTTATTGAAAAATTACAAAAACGCCATTTTGAGAAAAAAATACAAGATGGTCGATTTTTTGTAAAAATATGAATGATTGCCCATAACACATAATTACGCATAGTTTCATGAAAAACAGAGAAGGCCGAGTTTTTTCGATTCGTAATTTGGAGTGGAACTGCTCAAAGTAAGATTTTCAATTGTTTCCAAGTCATATTCGTATCGAGCTGCTGAGCGAATCCATGTCAAATTGCGAAAAATATACCCTAATTTCAGATTTTACCTCTCAGACCTTCATGATACTTCGCATAATTCTTTGCTAGGGGCCACGAACCAAGTTTTTGTTGCAATTCGGTCATTTTAACTCTCGCCTAATTTTACAACATGGCGTATATTTTTCAATAAATCATAGCATGAAAACGGCTCATCTAATCGAAATGACGTCTGAGATAAAGTGGTAGGAAACTAGATTACCTTTTCAGAAAAAAATATACTCTGAAAAAACAAAGCCAAAAAATTAAAAAAAAAAACAACTGTTAACAATGAAACGTTGTGATTGTTTTTTTTCAGTTTGTATGTGTGTTTTTTTTCCTGAAATGAGAATCCAATGTCCTATATATGCCAGTTTAAAAAAATAAGGCGAGAGTAAAAATGGCCGAATTCTAGCATAAACTTGGTTCACTGCCCCTAATGAATAGTTATGTGAAGTATCATGGTATTCGGAGAGGGTAAAATAAAATCGATTCGTTAGTTGGCGTGGATTTGCTCTGCTCGCTACGCTTAAAAAGTTCCACACACTGAAAAAAGCTTTGATATAGTTTCCATTGGGAACGCACATGATATTTTTCCAATAACAAAATTAATTATTTTTACCTGAAATTCACATAACATTCATATGATCACCTGAATTCTATGTGATAAATCACATGAACTTCATTGGACACATAAGATTCATGTGATTTCGTGGTGCGATTCCCAATTCCGGACTGATTTGAGATTTGGGCGTAATCCCTATTGTAAACAAACACTTCAATCACCGATTTCTCGCGAATAAAAACTCACCCTAGAAAACTAACACTCATGTAGAGGAATGATTCCTCTGTCATTCGGAATAGTTTGTTCGCGAGATTGAGCTTTTATTCGCAAGAAATAAGCGATTGACATACCGTGCCGATTCAAATTTCGGACACTTAAACTCGAATTTCGGACACTTTTAAAAGTTGATTATCTCGGTCGAATATGATCCACATGTCTTGTAAATTTTAAATTTTTTTGACTAGTGCCCTCCACGATCATCTAACATTATTACTTTGTTTCTAACTGGATGTAATATTTAATTAAAAATGAAAGTGTCCGAAATTTGAATCGTCCGAAATTTGAATCGGAACGGTATTTGTTTACAATAGCAATTACGCCCAAATCTCGAAGTTCTCCGGAATTATGAGATCACATGAAAGTTATGTGAAATTATAATGGATATTTTCCATCGGAAATGTGATTTATTTTTTGAGTGCACGTAATTTTGCACTTATTGTGAAACACATCCATTTAATGTGTGAATCTTATGCTTTGAACAATACCTCAACACTATTGGTTCGAATTGTGACACACTTTGAGTCTATGTGCCGCACATGGTGATATCAATAGCTTTGCACATTAAAGTTCAATGTTCTACAATGTTCTACTTTATCGATTTCTACTTTAACGACTCCAAAATTGCATTGAAAAATATATAAACAAAGCTGTCAAAGGAGGGCCAGAGCATACACTTGCCTTCTTTTAATGGGTCTGATTTGGGAATGGATCAATGAAAATGCTGACGTTTTGACAGAACTGTGCTGTGGATACCACAGTATTTTACATTTGATCGTCCATATACAATAGCGCCAAAAGCATGCTGTGGTGGGTTCAAAACATGACCATCTAAATGATCAATTGATCCTGGACTGTAGGGGTGTGCTACTGCCGTTGTCTTACCGTTCGATCTCACTAGGCCACGGTTGTTCTCATATAAAGGGTGATACGGTCAAAATTTGGTCAAGGGAAAACGCGTGTAAATCGGTGAAATCGTTTATTTAAAAAATCAAATTAAATTTCTTTTTCAAGTTCAATTAGTATAAAATTCAGGAAAAATATTCAGTTAGGCTTCCGCTTTTCCAAATCCGAATTGCCGGGCCTTACGCTTGACCCCTGCCATCAGATTTTGTACAGCCACCTTGTCCACCTTCTTCGCCGCAGAAAGCCAGTTTGCCTTGAACTGCTGCTCGCCCTTAGCAGTTTTTTTGGTCTTATTTAGGTTCCGCTTGACAATAGCCCAGTATTTCTCAATTGGGCGGAGCTCTGGCGTGTTGGGAGGGTTCTTGTCCTTGGGAACCACCTGCACGTTGTTGGCGGCGTACCACTCCATGGCCTTTTTACCGTAATGGCAAGATGCCAAATCCGGCCAAAACAGTACGGAACAACCGTGTTTCTTCAGGAAAGGCAGCAGACGTTTATTCAAACACTCTTTCACGTAAATTTCTTGGTTGACAGTCCCGGAAGCTATGAAAATGCTGCTTTTCAAGCCACAGGTACAGATGGCTTGCCAAACCAGATATTTCTTTGCGAACTTTGACAGTTTCATGTGCTTGAAAACATCTGCTACCTTTCCCCTTGCTTTTGCTGTATAAAACTCCTGTCCCGGAAGCTGCTTGTAGTCGGCTTTGACGTAGGTTTCGTCGTCCATTACCACGCAGTCAAACTTCGTCAGCATCGTCGTGTACAGCCTCCGGGATCGCGCTTTGGCCGTCGTATTTTGTTTATCATCGCGATTTGGAGTCACTACCTTCTTGTAAGTCGATAGTCCGGCTCGTTTTTTGGCTCGATGCACGGTTGTAGACGATACACCCAGCTTATTTGCGGCATCTCGGAGAGAGAGGTTAGGGTTTCGCTTGAAACTACCGGCAACTCTCTTTGTCGTCTCAGCGGCTTCCGGTTTTCGATTTCCCCCCGATCCAGACTTCCTGGCTGTCGACAAACGTTCCCCAAACACTTTAATTACATTTGTAACGGTTGATTTGGCAACTTTTAGCGATTTTGCCAACTTTGCGTGCGAGTAGCTCGGATTTTCGCGATGCGCGAGCAAAATTTTGATACGCTGCTCTTCTTGCTTGGACGGCATTTTGATAACTGAAGAGTGAATTCCAAAATCAAAATAGGAGCAACATTCTACACACACACACCTTCAAAATGAGGGGTGTTCAGGTTTTTTAAATGCAAAATTGAAAGAAATACGTCAAGTTGATATTAACCAAATTTTGACCGTATCACCCTTTATGAGACTGGTTGATAAGAATGAAGTCACAAATCAGGTTTTCGATGTTTACCTGGCAGAACAAGTAATTCACATAGCATTGAAATGCAAAACACTTCAAAATCATCGGTTTTGAACAATAGTGTGATTAAATGTTAGATTCAATGTGTAGTTCACATGAATTGATACTTAGAGAAAGATTATCAACATTTCAAAGTTTGAAACACTAGAAATCAACGTGTTGAATATATTGAAACCATGGTGAAATACACTTAAAATAAATGTGATTGTGCATATGAAAAATCAAGTGTTTAAACACGTCGATCAGACGTGTGGACTTTTTTGAATGTACGAATATCAGTGCCGGAAGTGAAAGCAATTGCTGGAGCCATATCTAACGTCAATTGAAATTGTTGAATTGTTGTCATTGCAATAACTGAGAAAAAAAATCAGCCATCGATGCCATATTTGTTTGTTCACACGGCGAAAACTACGGTTCCAGCACCCTGGCTGTTGAGATGCAATTGCCTAAATTTAGAAAAACTGATCTACAATGTCTGGTTTCTTCAAGGTAACTCCATCGGTTATTCGACATATTGCCAACTTGTTTTCTAATATTAGATATTTCCCTGGCAATTAATTTTACATTAAATGTTTCAGAATATTTTATTCAAAAACCTGCAACCTTATACAAATCTGTAATAGAACTTGTACATATCATAGAGGTAACTCTAAGACCAGAAGGTCGCGAAGAAACGTGCTTTTTGGCTCAGCTCTAGTACTCTCTTCGGTCCTAAGCTAATCGGTGCACCCCTCGAAACATAGGAAAACTTACGAACGTCTCATTTTATCTGTCAAACTTTCATAGCGAATCAAAACAAACATAGTGTAGTACTAGAATTTCGACTAGAATGGGGTACGTTAATCGATTTGCTTGGGACCAATAGGCTAGTCAAGTAGTGAGCCAATTTAAAATAGTAAGTTTTCACCGGGTGTACATACAGTATTGGACAAAACATGTGCAACTGATATCGAACAATAACAAAACGCGACAGTAAATGTCAGTGTTCTAAAATTGAAACGAAAGTAAGCTACTGCAGTTGATGGTTCGGAAGTCTGGATTTGTACTACATGATTACATGAGTAATCAGTAATTGAATGACAGCCCCTCGTTAGAGTTTTGTTGACAAGCACTATTTTGCGTCGGTCAAAACAAGTGCAACATTACGGTTTCTTTTGCTTTTACTGTCAAAGTGTTGGTGCAACAAGTGGGAAAGGTTTCATTTTACAACAAAAGTGTTGTATATTGCGTTATTCTACCATCGCAAGGTAAATGTTGCACGATAAACCTTTTAAGATTTCAATATTTACAGCCTTGGATTGGAATTGCGAAAGAAAATTATCGAGGACTACAAGTGCGGAATGTCGCAAAAACAGGTTTGTGATAAATATCGTGTGAAAAAGTGGACCATATCAAGACTATGTTCCAAATTTCGTGCAACCGGGAAGATTACTGCTTCCCACAGAGGGGGAAGACCACGTTCCACCACTTCCAGAGAGGACTCTATGATTGCCAGATGCATTAAAAAGGATCCTTTTAAGTCATCCTTCAAGGTACAAAAGGAATTGCAGCTATCTGTTCCGGACCGGACAGTCAGACGACGTACCGTTGAAGCCGGATTATTCTCCCGACGCCTGAAAGCTGCGAAGAAACCTCTAATTTCATTGAAAAATCAGAAGAAAAGACTCCTGTTTGCTCAATCTCACATAGGCTGGACTGTGCAGAAATGGCGGACGGTCCTGTTCAGTGATGAATCGAAATTCAACATCATCGGGAGCGACGGAATTTGCCGTGTACGTCGACCAATCGGAAAACGCTTAAAATCACGCTACTGCCAAAAGACCGTGAAACATCGTGGAGGCAACGTAATGGTCTGGGGATGTTTTTCTGCTAACGGCCTTGGTCCGATTCATCGCATCGTTGGAATTATGGACCGTTTCATGTACAATGGCATCCTAAAAGATGTCATGCTACCTCATGCTGAATGGAATATGCCAATCAGATGGATTTTTCAACAAGATAACGACCCCAAGCACACCGCCAAAGTGGTCAAACAGTGGTTTAAGGATAACCAGATATCTGTGATGGACTGGCTACCCCAATCTCCGGACCTTAACCCAATCGAGAATCTTTGGGAGATCGTGAATCAAAGAATTGATCGTGAAGGTGTTCGCAATAAGGATTAATTGTTTGAACAAATCCAAAAGGCTTGGGCAGCGATTCCACAAAACTTTATTGACAACCTGATCGAGTCTATGCCCCAAAGGTGCAAGGCTGTAATCGACAATAAAGGATTTGCTACAAAATATTGGAAGCCAAGCAAAATTTGGCGAACAATATGCAAAGTTGCACTTGTTTTGTCCATTTTCTTTTGTATTTTTTTTTTAATTCATGAAATATTCTGTATGAATAATGAGTTTTTTGTTAAAATAAACCTGAAGTATGCTGTTTGTAAACGTTTGCATAAGTCTTTCTGAAAATTTACCTACCATAACTTTTTTTTCTGAATAGTTTCATGATGTTGGTTTATTGGTTGCAAATGTTTCGTCCAATACTGTATACCGGTAGGGTGCAAACGACTTTCACATTGTAATATAGTAAAAAATCTTACTTCAGTAGTTCTGTTATTTGTTGTGACCATTATATTGTTTCAATAGTACCAATGAGCTCTCTAAAAAATGCTAACCAATAAACTTGCACAAATGAGAAACATTTGCCATAACATTACTAACACTGACATTGAAGCGAGCGACATTGATACTTGACACTAGATGAACTGATAATGTTATCAAGTGGCTAGTGAAAATCAGCATTTTGTTGTTATCGATATGAGTATTTAGCATTACTGATCATGACAATGATGACTATTCAGTTCAAGTGATATTTACGAAGCTACCAAGCTGGTGAGGTATGAGAGGTGTGCGCCAGCACCTTTTGGAAGTTTATTAAGGTTCCCATCATCAATCGACTTGCACTGTAATCGTAAATCGTAGCCTTGTCAACTACATTGACGTAGCTAATGATGGTGCCTAGGGGACCAGCACCCCTCTAGAATGATCTAGGCTCCCTCCAGAATTTTTGAAGATTTATATAATTTAAATGTTCGATATTTGAAGATTTATATAATTTATATTTAGAGATTTACATAGTTTATATATTCGATATATTCGATACAAAACAGTAAGAGTTTGTATCCAAGACACGACCGTAGATTTCACGTAGGATTACGGACTCGGGATAACCCAAATTGTCGAACTTTTTCACAAATGGTTTGGATGATACCCCAAACACGTCGTTAAGCAAAATAACCATACGAATTGTATTAGGGAACATTACGCACGGAATTTTTGGTTTTTCAATAGATAATAAAAAAAAGCATAAATTGATTGGAGGAATTTCATGCTAAAATTTTCAATCGTGAGATATTCGCTATCAATCTTATAAATTTAAGATTTTTTTGCTTTTTTCTAGCGTCCTTAATTCAAAGTGTTTCTGGTTAATTGACAAGATCATGTGATATTCGGTGATTGCGAGAATTTTTATGTATCACGTCAATACTGTTACGCATTTGACCACAAACGTTAGGCTGCTGGGTACATTATCAAAGAGCTTTGGGGGTGATGTGGCTGGCAACAAGGCGAGCGAATATTCAATAAAAATTAACTCTTAAACAACAATAATTTATATTGGTCCTAAAAACAACCGTTTTGTCGTGATGGTTGAGTAATGCTGAACTAATAGGGTGTTCAACACGAATAAGGCTGACGAACTGTATGTTGTTTGGTACGAGGGTGAAGCGCTTGGCATAGATGGCCCACAGCGGCTCACGACGAGCAACTGAATCCGATCAGTAGCGGTGCTGCTTCTTCCTCCTTCTTCGGTGAATGGACGCTCATGTGGGCTGCAGCTCGCTGCTTGCGGGCAGCCTTTCGTTGTGTACTGGAGACGAGGGGCACGCAATACAAAGAACCAGTGCGTTGAAGTTAAAATGCAATCAAAAGTACTTAAAGTAATTAATGCGTTTTGAAGTAGTACTGACGGTAATTAAAATTATCTATCCGTAATTAATGAAACTTAAAGTATTTAAAATGTAATTAATGTACTTTAATTACGAAATTTCAACTGTAATTAATGGAGTTAAAAAGTAGTTAATATTCTACATTGTGTAATTAATGTAATTAAAGCAGCAGTTAATGGAATTAATTTAATTACAGCCGTTGCCTGCGTTGGAATTAAAGGTTATTCCGTGCCCCTAGACTGGAGAACAATGTTCACCGCCACGCACCAAAAGCACTGCTGCTGCTGCTGATGACGACCGACCGGATACCACCAAACACGGTGATTGAACAAGCATCGTTCGGCGAGACCTGATGGAATTCGACTTTGACATCTGTGTTAGGGAAATCGCTTTTTGCAGGCAATCGGTGATAATGTTGGTCACCTTTGCAACAGTTGGACATTTGTGTAATTTTCAATAGTGCTGTTCATTTTAGCAGAGTCGTAGAACAATTTCCCATCGATTGGCTTGTTTAGAATTAAAATCCATTCGCTATTGACAGAATTATAAGTGGTCAAAACCTGAGCATTTTTCGTAACGCGGTCGATTTTGGTTTTTTTAAATTGCACCTCCAATATATTGCCGAAAGACGTAATCGTACGTCAAAAAATCAGGAGTTACCTGCATCATTCTGGAGGAGGCATCCCAGGCACCCCCATTACGTACATCAATGCCAACGACCAATGCTGATAGAAGTGAAATTACTATATGCTCAATGGCACTCAAGAAAATACTCTCTGAGGCAATTTTCGAACCGGATATGGATTTTCACATATATATGCTTGATGAAACATGGTCGTGGAACGTAGAAGAGTTTGATATCCAGCTACTTACCGCATCCTGCAGCACAATTCCGACTATCAGTGGGGCGATGATGGACATAATGTTGGCCGCACAGTTGGTAATTCCCATCATTGTACCAGCATGATTCGGTGCCAGATCGATATGGTTCACCTGGAAGCCCAAGTAGGTTGCCGAGTTGATTCCAACGGCTGTAGTTAACAGTACGATAGCCAAATCTTTTTCTCCCTTAGGCACGAAAGCCAGTCCCAACAGGGCGGCCATTGGAATCCACAGACCGATTGTGTTGAACAGTTTTCTGCTAATTACACGAGAAAGGTACTGTCTGTTGATCAGGAAGTCGGAGATCGGGCTGAAAATCATGCTGAGAATCCACATGACCAGATACGGCAAACTGGATAGCAGTGCATTACTTTTGATGTCCAGTTCGAGAACGTTCTTCATGAAGGTTGGCATTTCGGTTAGCAGTGTCCAGAAGCCCCAGTTGTGACTGCAGTGTGCGACCGTCAAGGCGATCATCGGTGCCGATGTTAAAATGGCCTTCCATGGCGTTATGATCTTTTTGCTGTGATCTTGGTTGCCCAACGAGTTTTCAATGAAATCCCGCTCCTCTGGGGAAATAGATCCATGCTCAACAGGCGAGTTTCCTCCATAGAAGAACCAAACAACGGTCCACAGGATACCGGCAGCTCCGGACACATAGAATATCCCGGGCCAGCCGATGGGAGACGATGCAAGGAAGCCGCTGATGGCCAGCATCACAACCGTTCCGAATTGGGCCCCAGCATAGCAGTACGTGCCGAGACGACCTCTCTCCGAAACCGGAGCCCATTTCGATAGGAGAGTATGAGTCGATGGGAAAATGAAACCTTGACTAAGGCCTTGTACTATTCGGAGGACTATCACCAGCTGGAATGTAAAAACGTATGATTTTACTAAGATTTGCTGCAAGGTTATATTTACACTAAATATAGCTCACCTTACTGCCTCCGAGGTGTGCAAACAGTGGCGTCAGTACGGCAAGAGTTGAGCAGATTCCCAACGAAAAGAGCAGCAGTACCTTCGCACCTACTCGTTGTGCCAGTTGGCCGGCCGGGATTTGCGTTACAACGTAACCCCAGAAAAAGCTACTGAGAATCACAGATTTGGTTTGCTCACTCCAGTCGAAGTGATCGAAGTCCCCTGTAGTACCCGTCTTATCAACCATAGCCACGATTGCCACCGATAGGTTTACCCGAAGGGCATAGGCAACCGTGAGGCCGAAGAAAAGCAGCAACGTTTGTACATGGCGGACACCGAAGCCACTTGCTGGAAAGAATAGAGATAAGATCAAATTAGTATTCGGATAAAACTCTTGAGTGCCCCAATAATCTAAAAATATCTGCGATAATTACGTTGAAATGCAAGATCGATGGGACGGTAGTCATAGCGTCTACCGCAACAGTTGAACATATTTTTCTTATGTATATGCTATATCCACATATAGCTCTTGCTTTGGCTATTCCGACAGTACACACTCCAACGGTTGTGTTCTTGCACTCTACTCAATGCACGAGAAACGATAAGCGAGAACGATTGCAAGGCCACCAGCATAATGCATTATTGCAGCTCGTCGACGCTGACTGTCTACGTTTCAGGTTCACTATCGCACCTCGTTTTTTGCATTCATGCCATATGGCATCAGTTTCTGTATGCGTATGATTCAGTATGATTCACTTCCACACTTTTTGACTGCGTTTGGCTGTATCTCTCGGTTAGAGCAAAGTTAAAGAAAGGAACAAAGAAAAGGAACCATTTTCAGGGCTCAATGTTCTGATTCCAGATGTTCGTCACTTGAGAATGATTTTTTTCTGTACCGTATGGAATTAATTAGGCGTATATAATGCACTATAGTCACTGACACAGAAAGTTCGACGGCACACGATGTGTCGTCTGGAGATTCGGAACAACAGTACAACGAGAAGGCTGATTGTAGAATGCGGTGAAACGAGTTCCTTCACAGCCAGCGTGGCCTAGAGAGAGACACCTCGTTTGTCAGTACAGATATAAGGATTCTTTCCGCGTAGTGATATGGATAAAGAGATCCACATAGTGTCTTCTCCTCTATTTGAACTGTAGACATCACCAGTATATTTCCTCTGTATACGGGTCGTTTGTTTACGAAACAGTTTTCTCCACTGCTGTGCAGCTGTCTGGCTTTGGTACAAAATACGAATGAAAACGTAAATTTGTTCAATTCACGCTCTCTTGTTATTATCGTTACAGCTGTATAGTGTGGCCGTTTGAAGGTGTATGCGCAACTGAGGATATCGTATATAGGGGCGGTTTTATGAGAGAATGAACCTATCTACCTATTCGGCTAAATCGCTTGATTTTAGGCAATGATAAAAGCCTCTTTAATTTAAAATTGAACCCAATAAAAAGAGTTAGTTTGAAATTTTATATGTCCAGAAAAGGAACGGTTAAATTTAATTGACAATTGTGTTTGACTTAATTTGCTTAATTTAATTTAATTTTTGGATTGGAATCATTTCAATACCGTTTCGTGCTATTCACATTAAATTTTTTAAATCCTTTTAAAATAACTTAAAATCTCATGAAATTCTGCATTTAAGCTGCATTAGTGAAATTTCCATATTAAAAAGTCTCAGTATTCACCCAGAAAACAATTTCGACAAAATACTGAAAGAAACAATTTTCAGGCTGCTTTGAAAAAATAAAATCGGTTTGGATCAAGCATAAGGTTTAAACCCAATTCTCTAACCTGAGAATGTTTCTAACAGCGTTTATTTAGATTTCAGTGGCGATATCAATATTAGTCATTGGCGATAGCTGTATCGATCCATCCAACCTGTTGCTGTACGATTCTTCCTCTTCTTTTTTATAGAATTGTGTACGCTTCTGTAGCGAGCGATCAGCCGGCTCTCAATTTAGTGCTCTGTTCAGGGTGGTAAATGTCATGGAAATCATAATGGAAAAAATGTCGCGACGTTTGTAAAAACTAGTCTCGTTCCAGGATGCACTATTCTATGCCAACCATGTGCCCAAGGAAAATGTTCAACCCGAAAGATTTCCGTGACCGGATCGAGAATCGAACTCGCCGCCTCCAACTTGTTAACACTGTGCCTTTACTGACCTTACTATCTGAGGTCCCTTTGCTGAGAGTAAGATTTGAGGCTTGCCGTTGCCAATTTCGCAGAGAATCATTTTTCTCTCAACTTCATTCATTCATTCTCTCAAAACCAATCAAATGGAAAGGAATGGAGTAGGGTTTCATTCGGTTGGTTATGTGTCGATACGACGATACATAGTTTTTAAGATGATTTTGTGTTAGTTTTAGTTACATCGATGCCTTGTTTATGGATTGGAGACATAGACAATTCGCAGTGGACGTAGCACTTTGACACGTTAGTTCATAGTTCCATGAAGAGTGTTTTATAATTTTCTGATTATATGAAAGATTAGAAAATATTAGAAATACCCGACTTATTGAACCTGGCATAGTAGTGCAAAACATACTAAATCAATGCAGAAAATGTGTCAAATTTGAAAAAAATAAAAAAAAATCACACATTGCTCAATTTTTCATATACCTGCGACTTAGATTGGACAAACTAGGCAGAACAATTTTGTCGTCAGTCTTATTCTTCTTATCTCACTACCACTGCAGCATACACCTTTAAAATTGATTGATGTAGCTTCTACCGGTGATAAGAAACCATCTTGACTAACCTATTAGTATATAATCACTACTGTCTGATTCTACCTAATCATATTCTACTGAATATCCGCGATGAACAACACTACTGACCGATTATCGACCCCAAAACGTCTAGTTCCTGCTAGACGACTGACGGCACCCGATTCATACGTGCGTCCTTCCTATATATAGTAATTCAACAATCTCATTTCCCACACCGTGTGAAACAAATGCTCAAAGAATGCAATCACTTTTGTTTTCCCGCCTTATGCATAATATCCAGTGGAAGTTACTTTCAATCTATTCTAGTATATGAAAATTAATTACTCTACAATGAGTAGCCATTAATTTTTTTAGGAATCTTCGAAAATTTTTAATACTGATCTCCCAATTCACTTGGGTTATAATTTAAGCAATCCTGCTCACCTTCGTCACGGCGATTTCGCACCATTTTCGCTATCGGACCGGAATTGCTTTATTATTCGCGGCACAGAATTTGTTGCTGAATTTTCTAAAGAGCACTGACTCCACTAGTGTCTTTTCGATGTCCTATCACGCGACAGCTCGGAGCTATACTCTATACCGAAGGCGGTACCCTTTTTGCGAAAACTGATCAATCGAATCGAAGCGAAGACGAACCTATCTTCCTCTCCGAGACGATAGTCACCTATCTAGGGTAAATGTTTAACCAGAACTAACAGGAGTCTTGTAGCGTTCGGTTGTAGTCCTTATCAGGCGGGTGGAGTTTGACGGACGATATCAATGAAACGGAAAACCTGTTTTGGTTCAATTTTCGTTGCACGTTGATTACCTGCTGGTGTCACACTTGATCGGCTTGTCAGCGATATTTGCATTAATTAAGTGTTTACTCAAAAACAAGTTTATGTAGTGTGGCAGTGTGACACATTTCCTCCTGAGGATATCAGGGTGACCGTTCACGCGCTTCTGATGGCCATTGTAGTTTGATGGGCTAAGTTGAGTTTAACAAGATATGACTCAAGTTTAATTACTCTGGTCATAAATATGGCAAACCGAATGCAGGATAATTCTGACAAAATACCATAGCATGTTTGCACGAGTGATATTCTCTTTTATGACCGATTGTTGTCGACCGTTATTAACATTGATCAGTAAGCTTTATCAGTAATGTTGGTTACGTATTTTGAGTCTTGTGAGTCTAGTCTGAGAAGTTAGAAGAGAGGTTGGTCAGAATACTGGAGAAGAATTCATCCATTTTCGATTTGAAATGTGTAATTGATAAATTTTATTATTCCAGATCCCCACTTAAGGTTTTTTTTTTTTTTAATATAATCACTTTAACGCTCTTGGGACATTCGTGACTTGTATGGTGGTGAGATTTGAAACCGTGATTTTGGCGTGAGAGGTATGGATGCTAACCACTACGACGGGGTCGCCCCCCTTAAGGTTATTATTATTATTTTTATTACTATTATTATTATTATTATTATTGTTATTATTATTAATGTTACTTTAACGCTCTTGGGTCATGCGTGACTTGTCTGGGGTGAGATTTGAACTTGTGACTTTGGCGTGAGAGGTATGGATTCTAACCACTATGCTAGGATCAGTCCCCAGCTGAAGGTGATTCCTTGTTGAGTCCACAAATGGCCGCTACGTAGGCTATACATGCACTTCCACTTCGAATTTTCAATTACACAAATCTCGGAAATCAGTGTCCAATTTCATCTGGAATTGCTACTTCATGTATCAAACAGTGCAGCAAACGAAGAGTAACAATTTGAATGTTGCACGTGTCGTAGAAGCTAATATTTGTGCACTTAATGTTTCTAAGTGGTTCCGAGACTAAGGATGTCACAACGATTCACCTTAATAGTGGAATTTTACGATCCGATTGGTACTCAGAGATTTCTAGTGTATGCTTTCTTCTCTTCGTCTCAAGCTCAAGGCAGTGGGCATCAAAAAAGGCGTTCTTTTCAGACTAGACAACTAAAAACACTATTTCAAGTTCACTTAATTTTTCACGATTCTTAAGTTTTACGTTGCGCTGTAGATTAGAATAGTTTGTTTATTTTATTTCTGATGAAATTTCTACCACACCAACAATAAGAAAACTTCAAATGCAAGAAAAGTTCTTCCAGCTGGAGTGCGAATTCAATCCTCTTTTCGTAACGAGATGTCAGATTAGCAGGTGAAACTGCCAAACATTAAAAGCAATTTCAGGCTCGACCATTTCCATGAAACTTTGCATAATTGTAATATTTTTTTGCATCTTCGATACTTGATAATTTCAAAAAAATATAACTCAAAAACAAATAGAACACACAAGGCTGATATTTCGTATGTATTTAGTGTAAAAAAGCATAAAATTTAAAGGAAAATATAAAAACATACTGCGCTCTCTGTCTACAAACCATGACAATAATAAAAAACAAATACAATTAATGTTTTGCAATACTAAATCACATTTATAATGTCATTATATTTCTAGTAAGAAGTTATTACCTTTCATTTGATATATTGATATTTGAATTCGGCCCAGTGGTTCAAAAGTTATGAAAAAAGTTATTTTTGAGAAAAAAAACTTATTTTTTGGACCACCCTAACATGGAAATGTCACCCATAAAAA